TTGAAAAAAATTTGATTATTTGAGCAACAGTGTCTTTTTTTTGTTTAACTAAACCATTTTTTTGTTTGGTTAGAGCACTTTTTTTCTCTAACTAGTATTTTTTTTTTTTTAAAAATGTATTTTATATATATATATATATATATTATTGGAATGAGATACTTTCACGAATTGAGCATTTGCAAAGCCATTTTAAGTGAGAATTTGAACAAGAATTAGTGATATTGTCAGATGAAACAATTTTACATGATCCTTGTATTGACCATTGTCTTCTATATGCTTTTGGAAAATGCTTGGCTTTACATGTTTCAAGATGTTCTAAGTGTGAATAGTTTTATGAATTTTTTGATCAGTTAAAGAACTGTATGACTGATAATTATAAAAAACAACAGCATGAAGTTCAAGATCGATTAAAGCATTACTTAGGTCACCAAGCATGTAAGGTTTATCTTAACACCCAGTTCAAGACAACTTTAGCTTAGTTGGATTCTGATGATGCTCTAATTGTAGCTAACTATTAAATGAGGATTCTTCTGAAATCAGCTCGCAAAACTAAAAAAGATTTTTTTGGTAAAAGAGATTGGACTTTGCATACTATTCTAGTTTTCAGAAAAAAAGGAAAGTATAGATGCATTAGATGTTCAGGCATTCGATCATTGGTCTACTAACACAAAGCAAGATGCATGGTTTACCGCTTCTTTGTTTGAAGCAGTATTTGAATCACTAGAAAAAAAGCCAAAGTGGATAACTATAATTTCTGACAACGGTGCATATTATTACAATTCAGAGTTGATGACTATCATAGTGCATTGGTATACGTGGTACTCCATTAAGGTCAAAAGATGGCTGTTTTTGGAGCCAGGGAAGGCTAAAACACCATTAACTCTCATCATGCAAACGTGGTATTGAATTTTTCACATGTCAATTTTTATAAAACTAATAAGACACTAACAATTTGCTTTGATAATATATTAGATTGGCCATAGCATTAGATGATATATTCAGGTTGGATTTGACTTAGTTGAAGATGAGGACATAGTCGAAGCAGCAAAGAGATTGGCAGAAACATCTTTGGTACAAATTACAATAAATCGTGATAAAGAAGATTGTGAAGACTCCAGATCAAATAAAAAAAAAATTTAAATCAAAAAAAAGTAAAAGTTAAAACCATCACTGGAATCTCAAAGTTTTATTGCTGGGAATAGTCTGTAGAAAGTTTACTAGCTAGATTTATATATGCTAAGGAACTGCCTCACATTGGGTCGTGGAAAAATTTTTTTCTAGCAGAAATAGCCAAATTATCCAATGTCCTAATTGTTTGCCTAAAGCTGATAGTTTCAGTGCATACAAAACCCACATCTGATTGGACAATTCCAATTTCAACAATGCAAGGTATGTAATATAAAAAAAAAAAAAAAAAAATTGATTGCTTACAATAAGCTTTAGCAGCTTTAGTTCTTATAAATAATAGGATAGTTGAAGATATTGATATGGAGGGTAAGTTGTAATTTTAAGATCTAGTTACAAGAAGTTACCAACTTACTTTTTTTGTGAGACAGATATAACTTTCAATAACATGGATGATTATCATAAGATGGATATTGATAGTAGGAAACTATCTATTTTATTTCGAATATTTCATCACTTTTTAGTTAAAATAATAACAATAATAATAAATAAATGATAATAATAATAATTGGTTTATATTTGTACAATTCTTTAGAAAATAGAGTCAGAAAGGATGAACAAAACACATTCATTTACTTTCAAAAATCTGCTGAAATTGAAAATTCTAGTGGAATTGAAGTTGAAATGAATGAACATAACGCATTTATTCATCATCAAAAATTGGCTGTAATGGGTAATCAAGACACTAATTCGAACTGGTTGAAAATAATAAATATTTTACCTTGTACAATTTATATAGAAAATGGCACTGAAAAGGATGAACATAGTGCATTCATTTATTTTCAAAAATCTGTTGAAATAGGAAATTTTGACAGAATTGGAGTTGAAATAGATGAACCAAATACATTCATTTATTATCAAAAATCAGCTGGTATAGGTAATTCCAGGGAAAGATTAGTAGAGCTATTTATGATAAACTATTGATGTAATTTATTTATTTGAATATAACTAGCATGAGTGTTTTTAGAAATTTAGAAGATAAATTCCAGTTACCCAAGGGGTGGGCACTTCCAAGAAATACAAGATTCGGCAAAAAAGGTGTTAAAAATAAAATCAAAATTAAGGTTGTTAGTATTTTAAAACAACCTTTTCTGAATAGTAATCTAAACCCCAAGGACAAATTAATGGCCAAAGAGATGTATGAAGAATTATTAAGGTTTGCACATTCTGTAAAAATTGACAAAGATCATGTGACTAAAGTTGACACAATCTAAAACTGGATTGGATGATACTCAAGAAAATTTAACCAGAAAGAAACAGTCATTGAGCTTGAAACTTTTAAAGCAACAAGCTCTTCATCAAATACCAAAGATTAGGTAAGTATAGTAGCATTTTTAATCTTATTCTAATATCAAATTTCACAACTCTATTTTATTTTAAAAATAGAGTTAGAGAGAATTAACATAAAGCGTTTATTTATTATCAAGTTGGCTATTCTAACAAAATGGAATTATTGTTGGTTGAATTTACTATTCATAAATATTAGATTTATGATTGTAATTTGAAATCAAATAAATAAATTGGGAGCATTCTGAGATTCTATTCATAAAATAAGCTTTATTTATATTGTAAAATACAGGGTTGGCATGAATGGAATTCGGATAATGGAAATCTGTCCGAAAGTTAGTGTCTGAACTGTCCAATCAAAAGCAATAAACATTGGACTGGGCATATGATCAAAGACACGTAATTTAATTGGACTATGTGGAAGATCAGAAATTAGCTGTAATGCTAACGTACTTTAATATGATTTCCCGTTAACAATTAATACAAATAAATGTGGATCTAATGTCCTGTAGACTCTCATGAAGTTTTCTTTCTTTTTTTTCAACACTATATTTGCGAACTAACTAAACTATATTTAAATTTCATTCTTTAATTTTATCTATAAATTTCTTAATTAATAGATCTTTTTTTTTTTAATGGTATTACAATTATTATCGTATTGATGATCCATCTTTTATTTGGTATATATCGATCCACTCCTTTTTGAGCTGATCGTGATCCCTAAATGCATACTTTTAGGTTAAGATAGTCGATTGTGATATGTTTGATCATATTTTTACAATACCGTTTATTTTATTTGATACTTACCTAACTATTTAGATGGTGAAGCTAGATAGATTTCTTGACAGAGATATGCGTATACAAGTTAAAAGGAGGTTTGTTATAAAATATAGTGTTCTTTTAATAAACTTATTATCAGACATTTTTAAAAGCAATTTTTCTTATTTTTTCTTATAACCAAGCTGTATATTTATTCAAGTAATGATTTTAAATTTAAATGAATACATATGTATATATACATATATATGTTTGTTAAGCAAAATCATTATTGCTAACTTTCATTCAAAGGGAAAAGGTAAATCGGATAAAAATAAATCATGTAATTTCCACTTTGCAGCTTGATTTTCAGCAGGATAGATTTCTAAATCAAGAAAATCCATATCAGCATTATCAAGATCATCTGGGTCTTCTTCAAACTCTTTATCAATCAATAATTCTTCCTATTCGTTGATAGCACTATTCCAACTAATTTCTAAAGTAATTTCTTCATTTTCTTCATTTATATCATCTATATCAGTCTCTTCGAATACTTGGTCTTGGTTAGATAATGAAGAACTAGAAGCAGCAGAGAGAAGTGAAGCAGAAGGAGAGTAATCTGGTTGAATATGGTCCTTTTTTTATGAGCTCGTAAGATTTCTGCACGGAGTTGACTCATTGCAACAACTTTTTTATCCTATAATAAAAAAAATTTTAACATATTAAAATTTCATTATTTTAAGTAAAATTTACCTTGAGTTTATTTATTAAAGGAGAATGTAAAAAGCCCATTGTAGAAAAAAGTCTTTCTACTGAAGCAGTTGTAATGCATATACCAAATAATCGGCATATGACATGACTCAATTCTGGCATGGCACTAGAATTATGCAACCACCAAAGAATAATATCACCTTTAAATTGGTTGAAGGTTTTTTTAGAAAAAGGATACTTTTGTTGTTTGTAAAGTTCCAATTCACAAAGCAAACAGTCTGGTTCGTTACCGAACCAAGCTTTATAATAATATGATAGCCATGCTCCCATGTAAGTAAAATTAATATATAGTTGCATTTGATTAAAATAATCTAACCTATATAGAGGATGAAGAACAAAAGAAAGAATAAGCAATGGTTGTTCCCAGGTGGCCCATCTTTTTTCAAGCCTTTCAATCATTCTTGTTTGAAATTGATTTTCTTCAAGTTCTTTAAATATTTGCATAAAAAAACCAAAGGTATGTAAAACATTATGAAGATGGGCTTTATTACGTTGCATAAGATCAAGAGCTCCACAAAAAGGATGAAGTATCTTATGCAATGTTGTAAGAGAATCCCAAAAAGAATCACGATTAATAGTAACTTTGATATCAGCTGGAAGTTTTAAATCATTATCCGAAGCAGTGTCATCTTTGGTAACAAGAGTCTAAAAAAAAAAAAACTTAGTAATAATTTTCTGATCAACCTTTAAGTTTCTAATTAAATAACTTACTTTTAATGGAAGCTTATTTTTAAGAATACTATCAAAGCATTCAAAATAGCTATTCTATCTTGTTACACTTGGAGTTACAAAGTTAACATATTTTTTTAAAACACTTTTTTGTTTATCACGAAGTTTAGCGGTAAAATATACAGAATGATGAAAAAAAGAAACAATACAAAGTGCACATTTGCTCATATTTTTGAATACTGCAGATTCTTTAAATATATCTCCTACACAACAATTTGCTTGATGCGCGAAGCATGGAATGAACACTTTATCATAGATTTCACGTCTCAAAGAACGACGAGCTGCTGCATATGATCCAGCAGAATCAGTGACAAGACAGTTAACTCTTACATCTAGCTCTTTTGCTTGGTTAAAAAGTGTATGGATTCTGGTAATTACTTCTTCTTGCCTTTGTCTTTCAATACTAATGTCTTCTGCTCCCCAAATTAATGTTTCTCCTGAAGATATAATAAATACTATACCTATTAGCTCTTGATTTATAACATTGCGCCAGCCATCGAAAGCAATTGTAACACCGATCTTATCTCTACAGGCAAGCTCTTTAATAGTTGTTTGGACTTCATTAGTTGCACTTGTTAGTATACGATTACTAAGTGATTTTTGGTCAGGTAGTTTTAAATGTAGAGAAATAAAGTGGAATAATTCCCTAACTTCAGGATTTTCAATCCATCGAAATGCAACTCTAACTGAAACAGTTGCTCGAAGTATGAGACGTTCGAATTTGGGAATTTTAAAAGCATGAAGTGGGTGACCAATATATTGCGATAATGTAGATTGCTTTTTTAAAACCAAAGTATAATTAGAAGCTAATGAATTAGAAGAAGTTGATACTGAAGTTGAATGATTTTTATCTATGTTTTCTTCTTCTTCATCATCTTCTTCATCTGTATAAGACATCATTACTCGCTTGTTTGGTGTTGAAGGTGTGACTGAACCAAGAATAAGCTGTATTTGTTCAGGTGAATACTTCGTGGCAAAGTATGAACAATCTCTGAGATGATTAGCACAATAACGTTTTGTATTTGTTATTTTCATACTATCATCTTGTAGGGCAAAATCTCTTCCTACAGCATCCATACATGCTCGACAAATACATTTTTGATTACTTTTATTTGCCCATTCATTAGGAATAATATAAAAGTATTTAGTAAGAGAATGCGGTGGCTTTCCTCCTTTGCGTTGCATAATTTGCTTGATAATTAAGAGATTGAATAACAATTAATTAACCAAGAGTTTGGTGAAATTATTAGGATTTATATATTGTAGAATAATGGATAATGTTAAAGATAAGATTTAATTTTAATTGAGTACACGATTTAAAAAATAACATGATAACTAACACAAAGCTTTATGACTAAAATTTTTTTAGAGGCTTAAAGAAATATCAGATTTTTCTTTATTAAGATAACTCTTATAATTTACAATAACTGCAGAAAAGATCTTATCTTATTCATCTAATTAATTTCATTTTACCGGGGGCTTAGAGCTATGTATAAGAAGTATTTCATATTATCTTTCCTTTTTTTAATTTCCTTTGATTTCTAATACAAATTTTTCATATCATCTTGTGAATTCGAAGCTTTTTTTTTGGATTCATCTTAGATTTTACGCATATAGACTAAGCCCACTCCATCTTTGGTATTAATACTTTTGCTTTCCTTCATTTCATTCTCGATTGTGGGGCTTCAATTGATTTTCTTATTTCAGCTAGTGGCTCTATGCTATTAGTAATATCATATGAATTTGGTTACTAAACGTCAGAATATATCAGTTAATTACCTAATGTATTAACTAAGATACCTTCTTCTTCAATATCTTCTATGCAAGTACACTGGGTTCTTTAGTCAGTGCACTATCGCTACCATACATTTTTACTTATCTGAGAAAGAGAATCGTGTGTTAATAATTTGGTTAGTATAGATTAAATTTATTTATGCACACTAATGAAATAAATCTTTTTTAGGAAATTCATTTATACTCTAATTAATCCAAAGTCTCATGGTACATCTAATTGTAATTACCATCAATTCCCTAATTTCATCAGATCAACATTTTTTTTTAATATGAATCAGAATTAGAGTGGATTGGAATATACGATGTGCATATACTGTATGTTATAAATTTTGCATACTATACTACACAAAATCTGGCAAACTCATATGATCATGAAATTATTTCTTGCTATTTTTTCATGTGTTATGATATAAACATGTTTATTCAAATTAAAACTCAGCTGACAACTTCCTACGAATCATGATCATAAATTGCCGGATAACACCAATACTGGAAAAATTGTCGAATACTATAATTTGGCAAATGATTAACTACATGTGCCGCTCCGCGGAATGTATTCATTTGCCAAATTACCATTATTAACAATTTTTGCCAGTATTGTATACATATTCTGTAGTATGCAAATGACTGTTTTACAAAGTTTTTTTTTAAAAAAATAAGTGATGCTATATGAAACTGATTCCGACTGATTATAACAGTAAAATAAAGGGATACATTCGAATTAAAATTCTTCCGAATTATATCTACCTTGAAGTGGATATTCGAAAAAAAAAAGGTTTCAAAAGTTGATACCATATTGAGATGCGTATGTGCATATGATATTTAAAAATATATGATCTATGTGCACTCTATTCAGAAATTCTACTATCAAAAATATTATTGGACAATGGATACTTGTCCGAATTGTCCTATGCAAGATCACTGGACATTGTATAATGCCAACTAAAACTGCGCCTCATCGGACACTGGACATTGCATAGGACAATTTGGAAATGTCCAATGTCCAGTAAAAAATCACCGAATATGTCCATTGCCCAACCCTGGTGAAATAGATATAATACATCAAATTCCTTGTAAATATACACCATATTAATGTTTACTTTATCAGTTCTATACTAATAATATGGCTTCCCTCATTACAAGCTACTCTTGACCAATTTTGTTGAACTTATAAACTAAAATATTAGATTTATAAATTTCAATTGGAACTTATATATCCAAATTCAAATTAAATTACCAGGTGCCTAATAATGTAATTGAAAAATTTTTACTATATCGAAGGTTTTCTATAATGAATGTTATTTGTATGCATATATATGACTAATTAATTGCAGTATAAATCTTTGTCAATAAATAACACAAATAATTACATTTAGGATTAACTAAAAAGCAAAATAAGGGTGTGGCGACCTAGTGAAGTGGTGGGGTTGCTGCACCCCCAAGTGGCAGGTCTAGAGTTCGAATCCCACGG